ATATCTTTTTGTAAGCATTAATCTTTCCTTCTGTGCAATGGGCATGCACCCCAAATGCCTCAACCCTGATAGCTTGTCTTCCCTATCTAGGCTATTACATGATGGTGAACTTGTGCTGCTTTTCCTGAGTTCAGCAAACCTGATTTTGCCAGGCATAATGGCTCACGCCTTTAATCCCAGCACTTGGGAGGCAGAAGTAGGCAGATCTCTGTGAGTTTGAGGCCAGCCTGGTCTATATAGGAAAGCCAGGACTACATACACTGGGACTCTATGGAGTGACCACATCCCACTTATCATCTTTCCACCGTGGAATCAGTCCCCACAAATGTTTGTTTAAAAACAAAACAAAACAAAACAAAACAAATCAACAACCTCCAGCCAGCCCCCCTCCCAGCCCCAAACAACCCTGGTTTTGAGGAAGAACTCTCCAGAGATGAACTCCTCAGAGTTGTGCAGCCTCAGCGATGACCAGGAAGCAACAGGGCTGAGTTCAGCCAGAAACAAAGTTTGTCGAACAAGCTCCACCCTCCCCCCAAGCACCCTGGAGAGCTGCTCATCCTAACTTCACACAGCAAAGGGAAGAGCACAATTGTCCTACTTAGAGTTCTGCTTTGGTCTGTAGTGGTGTTAGTTGGGCAGAGTACCCCTAATGGTCAGAGAGGAGTGTGCAGGGCCTTCTAGTTCTGTGGATTAGGGTCAGGACTCCAACTTCTGCCGATCCCCACCTGGGGATGGGGATGGAGAAGACTCGGTAGCCCAGGAGTTTGAGGGCAAGGGGTGTCAAGCTCAGGAGCGGAGGTTTTCAGGGACTCCAACTTGAGATGTGACCTTCAGGTCTTGAACTATAGTGATGCCATCTTACAGATTAGAATTTGATGGTGTGTGTGTGTGTGTGTGTGTGTGTGTGTGTGTGTGGTGTCGAGCTGTCTTCTCTTTATTTGGAAGGGGTTCTTGAGGCTTGCCTCACAGTGCTCTTTCTACCTCTACCTAGCAAAATAATCAAGGATAGCATCTGAGTGGGTGTACCCCATGCTCACTCTGCTCACAAACTGCCGTGACTGGTGACTGGAACAAGGAGATGATCAGGGGATGTTCCTGACCTGGTGGCTCTTGACGTTTGATTGGAGACTTTAAGGGGTGACTACACCACACTTACCACCATGGAGTCAGTCTTGACAGGAACCAAATTGCTAAATACTGAAGTCGATGAGACTTTATTTCCCACTCCCCTACAACTTTTCAGCCAGGGAATGCTGAGCTTAGCAGGGCTGAAAATCGGAGACAAGGGGATTTTGGATCCGCTGGATGGGCATTTCTCCCCTCCCACCTCAGGGTCCTACAGCTTGTTGCTTGAAAAAGTGAGCTGTGTGGAACCACACTTGGCCCTGCAGTCCAGCCTCCCACCTGCAGCTGTGGCCATTCTCTCTTCTTGTCTACCAGCCCCCTCATCACAGAATAGGGTTCCTTGATGTCCCTGCAGCCCTATTTCCCCTCTGTTCAGCTGAGATATTGCCTAACCGCTTCCAGGCCCCTCCTTGCCTTTCTGAACAGCATCCTCGCCAACCTTTTTAAAGCAGAACTTGCCAGTGACAACTCAGTGGCTGGCAGCTTGACACTCACACAAATGCACACTCCCCACACAATCTTTTCTTCTCTTCCTGTTTTGGCTCACTAGCAGCAGGGACCGCCTGCAAGCCTCTCCTCCCTTGGTAGCCTTTCGAACTGTCATCTCCTCCCAGAAGCCACAGTTGCCCTTACTTTTAGGCTAGGTCAGGGCCCAGGCACGAAGCTCCTCTACAGCTCTCTCCACATCCTTCTTTTTATGGCCTATGTGGGTGTCTATCTTTCCCACGGTGCTGGGAGCTCCAGACAAGGCTGCAGCTGAGTCTATCTTGGTTCCTCGAACCCAGAGCTTATCTGGAGCCCAATTCTGCCAGGCTCGGCTGGACTCAATTTCTGAGGGAATCAGAATCCCGGAGGACTCAACTGTCACCCTGAAATCTTGGATGTGTTAAATGGAGCACAGTCCAACTAGGACCTGTGGAGAAGGTTGTGAACCCGGATTGCCTCCCCCTCCCAGGCTTGATCCCTCAGCGGCTTCACCCTTTATATGGTGGTGGTAGGGGTCCGCCCAGAGGCAGGGTACCCGGAGGCACAGGGAGTCCCGCTTTGCTCCCCGCGGCTGGGAGCGGGCTCTCCGCCCGGCTCGCCCTAGAAGACTTCGTGTTGGGTCGCTGTCTGAGCACGCCGTCCGTTTGGAAGGCTCCTCACGTCCAGGCGCCGCGGTCACGGCTGCGCCGGTTTCCGGCCATGAATTGGGCTTCAGAGTCCGAGCCTCCTGCCCGACTCCCGGCGCAATGCACCGCCCCGGGGGTGGGGGATGGATGTCCGCCGAAGTCTGCATGGACACTTAGGGTTCGAGCCCACGGCCTGCTCGCTAACATCCTGGTGCTTGACTCAGTGCTCCGGGCTTTGTGTTCTATCTGAAGGTTGCCCAAGTCGGGGATCCGG